TTTCCTCTGTCTGGTCCATTCCTCACCCTCTGCAGTAGACACTTGCTTTGTGTCCCACATCACCCTCTTCCCTTCTTAAGGCCACAGCACCCTGATCTTGTTTGGGGGAAAACAATCTCTTCCCTAGTTTCAGACCAGGTGTTACAGGTAAAGCTGACTCACCAGGAATTGAACACATCCCAAGTTTAAGTTTCTTCCCCTCTGGCCACCATGAATGAGTCAACAATGGGACATGACCACTGTCTGGAGTCAATGAGACTCAATTTTGGGGTCACCGTCTGAGCTAAGAGGGGAGGGAAACTGACTCCTTTTTTTTTTTTTGGCTTGACTTAAACACAGAAAGATGTAGGCTGGAGCTGAAGTCATCTTGCTATGTTGGGAAGAGACTATCCGTGGAGACAGCCAGCCCAGAGGAAGGCAGTGCTGAGGGACCAAAGTGGGGAAACCAGCACCCAGGACATAGTTTAAGCTCTGATTAAGCTGTACCAGCAGCCAATTCCACCCTGCTCTTTTCTGTTATATGAGCAAATACATTCCCTTTTTGCTTAAGCCACTTTAGAAGCTTAGGTTCTCTGTCACAAGTAAGAGAAAAAGTCCTAACTGATACATTCTCCCCAACTCACCAATACAACTTGACCTTAAGATATTCATTTTCTTAGCAATCAAGTACAAAAAAAAGTCTACCCACTATGCCTCTCAGTTGCAGGGTCTTTTTAACTCTTTGTCTCTCGAAGCCTGACCAACATAGGGGCCTCAGCTCATACAGGTTTGTTTCCAGCAGAGCCCGTGTCTACTTTCTGTGAACATACCGCCAGCTGGCTTGGATTGCTCTGTTGATCTAGGAATTTAACATTACTGGCAGCATGATGTTATTTTCTTCATAAAAACCTATCGGCTGGGTAGTAAGGTAGAAGGCTCTGAAACATCCCCCCACTCTGCTACATATACACACGGAAGCAGCAATGAGTGCCAAACCTTTGAAAATATTAAGGGTTTCTTCATATTTTCAATATTTATTCACTCACCAAAAGAAGCAGGTAATCTGTTTAAGACTAAAATTTGACTGACACTTAACATTAGCCAAAACCAGCAATGGTAAAGCAAATTGGAATTGAAGCAGAAACCAATAAAAACATGAAGACTCACCAATCAAGGACCAGATAGGATTGTCCTCCTCTTCGATGCTTGAGAATTGACCTACAAGATTAGCCTGAACCTCAGCATTTAGAGCAGGTAAACCTCTCTCCATCAGGGTCTTGTTTACCTCAACACAAGTCTGAACACCGATAGAATTTAGGACTTCCTTCAAGTTAAAAGTCCTACAAAACAAGAAACAAAAATCCCATCAGGGATAGTTTTTATTTAGCAGGATTTTTGTTGTTGTTGTTGTTTTAAAAATATACCAACTTATTTCAAACGTCTACCAATTTTCCCCTATACAGACAATAATTACCTCTATTAGAATGAGCTTAGAAAATAGTAACTCCTCCCAACCATCCTTTGTATGTAGCAGATTTGTAAATAATTAAAACCACTCAATTCTGTGGGTAATGTTTAAATAGGAAAGCACAGACAGAAAAATGTGGTCCCTGAAAATAGGTCTGCAACCCCATCTTCAGGCAGGGCTATCAGAAAGGGAAAGA